GGAGGAACAGTCCCTATTCTGCTCTGTGTCAGTGTGTATCAGGGATCCCTAGGACATGTGCCAATCCATATCTGCCAAGTGACCCGATGTAGGAGGAACAGTCCCTATTCTGCTCTGTGTCAGTGTGTATCAGGGATCCCTAGGAGAGGTGTCAATCCATATCTGCCAAGTGACCCTATGTAAAAAAGGCCTGATGAGATGAGCTGCCTTGGGCTGAAAATGGTCCACACGCTGCTGTATGTTAGCTCTGAATGCCGGTTAACTTGCGTGACTTATCCGCCACCAACTAGGGTTCAAGCCGCCATGTTTTAGGGCACTTTCTGCCTGTGAAACAAACATCATTTTTTCTGGCCGCTGCTACAGCAGCGGCTGCAACAATACCGAATTTTTCAGGCATGTGTACATGCCTAATTTTTAGGCCCTCTGGTGCTGCACTGTGGCTTCAAAACTTTTTTCACTGTTATAGATTGAATAGCAGTTAGTTGTCTGCAAGCGTCAGAAAGTCACCCCCTTGCCCGGCGTCTGACACCTGGCTTGTCTGAACTATTAGCCCGCCAGCTTTTACCATACAATCTGGTGGAGTCTGAGGCGTTCAAAAATTTTTTAGCTATTGGGACACCGCAGTGGAAGGTACCCGCCAAAATTTCTTTGCGCAAAAGGCAATCCCCAACCTGTACTCGACTGTGCAAAAGGAAGTAATGGCATGTCTGGCACACAGTGTTGGGGCAAGGGTCCATCTGACCACTGATACCTGGTCTGCAAAGCAGTGGGTACTTTATAAATGGCTCCACCTGCCACCCGTACAGCAACACAGTCTCCAGTTAGGAGGACAGACCAAGCATCTTCTTCCATCTCCCTGTTACAGAAATTACTGCTGTGTACACGTCCACTGATAGGAGACGCGGAAGGTATTAAACTGATAAAAATAGTACTAAACACACCACTCCTATCTGGTGTCACATTAGCTTGACCGCGCAGTGCCCCAAATTTGCAGTAAGAGGACCGACCAAGCATCTTCTTCCATCTCCCTGTTACAGAAATCACTGCCGTGTACACGTCCACTGATAGGAGACGCGGAAGGTATTAAACTGATAAAAATAGTACTAAACACACCACTCCTATCTGGTGTCACATTAGCTTGACCGCGCAGTGCCCCAAATTTGAAGTAAGAGGACCGACCAAGCATCTTCTTCCATCTCCCTGTTACAGAAATCACTGCCATATCCATACAAATTGTACATAATGTCCAGGATAGTTTTCCAGGGACATATGTTGTCGCCTGTAGAACGAGGTGACCTTGCTCGGGTCCCAGGTGTGCGGTTCCTAAAATGGCTGCCATATACACGTCCACTGATAGGAGACGCGGAAGGTATTAAACTGATCAGAACAATACTAAACACACCACTCCTTTTTTTTGGTGAGGCTTTACAGGACAGAGTGCTTCTCCACGGGACATGTTAACTCACGGGCAGCTGGCTCATCAAGGAACCAGAGCAGCTTTCCATGTACAGGTAAGACACGTGCAGCCGGTAAGGGTTCAGGCTCTTCTTCCTGGAGGATACGCTGCAAGCCTGTTGAACGAGGTGACCTTGCTCGGGTCCCAGGTGTACGGTTCCTAAAATGGCTGCCATATACACGTCCACTGATAGGAGACGCGGAAGGTATTAAACTGATCAGAACAATACTAAACACACCACAAATAAGGTTTATCTCCTGTATGGCTCCTCAAATGATGCTTAAGATTAGAAGCGGCTGAAAAGCATTTCTCACACTCCGAACAAAAATATATTTTTTTAACACTCTCTCCACTTTGAACGAAATGACGTTTGGAAAGAGATTAACATAATTAAACACAGGCAGTAAAAATACAGTTTTTAGCCATACACTGTAACTTTAAAACTACACATCCCATCTTCATAACAATTACATATTTGGAATCAGCACACTTAAAACATAAACATAACCAAAAATCAGCCAAATCCATCCAGGGGTTAAAAAGTTAGCTGGAGGTCCCTTTATGACCGACCGCAAGCACATTTTCCTGCCCAAAACAGTTCCATAGATTTGGGCTGTGCGGTCGGTCTGTTTCAGGCTGAAAAAATGACTACGTCCCATCACCGAATGGGATTTAGTCTCTGCAGCTGAAATAAGGCTGTAAAAAACGGCTGAAAAAACGACTAAGTCCCATCGCTGAATGGGACTTAGTTTCTGCAGCTGTAAAACCAGTAGGGGAGAAGGTAGAGCTCAGCGGTGTTCGCGGAAATGTGTAGCCGATTTTAGTTCCATGAATTTGGCTACACATACCGCTGACCTCGAATGATCAAAGATGGCCACCACCACGTGTTCGGCAAACGAACAAAGACCTCCCAGCATTGTCAATTAAGCTGCGGTTAACCGCAGCTTCTGGGAGGTAAATTGCCTGCACACTTCCACTTCTGGGTGGTCTGCCTGTGTGGTACTTGGTTCAGTAAGCCCCATTTACTGAACCAAGTGGGAAATAGCCAGGCAGGCACAAAGGGTTTGCACCAGGTCTGGGGACACAGGGGACACCGTCTTAAAGGGGCCGTGTCCCCAACAAGTCTGGGGACACGGCCTTAAAGGGGCAGTGTCCCAATCTTCCTGATGTCCCAAAAAAGGTGTTTAAAGGGCCAGCACCAGTCACATAAAGAGTCCATAAGCCCCAATATGCCCACCGACAGTCTTAAAGGGCCATACACACCAAATAAAAGTGCATACATTTTCACAATCTCCCAGGGGCCATAGTCATGCGGGAGGAGGCTGGCAAAGTAGGCTTCTCCACAACCCAGGGAAGCAGGGCAATTTGCCATTTAAAGGGCCCGTTACAAATAGCAGTTTGTAACAAGGTGTCAATCCATATCTGCCAAGTGACCCGATGTAGGGGGAACAGTCCCTATTCTGCTCTGTGTCAGTGTGTATCAGGGATCCTTAGGACAGGTGTCAATCCATATCTGCCAAGTGACCCTATGTAGGGGGAACAGTCCCTATTCTGCTCTGTGTCAGTGTGTATCAGGGGCTCTGAGGACAGGTGTCAATCCATATCTGCCAAGTGACCCTATGTAGGGTAACAGTCCCTATTCTGATCTGTGTCAGTGTGTATCAGGGGCTCTGAGGACAGGTGTCAATCCATATCTGCCAAGTGACCCTATGTAGGAGGAACAGTCCCTATTCTGCTCTGTGTCAGTGTGTATCAGGGAACCTTAGGACAGGTGTCAATCCATATCTGCCAAGTGACCCGATGTAGGGGAACAGTCCCTATTCTGCTCTGTGTCAGTGTGTATCAGGGATCCTTAGGACAGGTGTCAATCCATATCTGCCAAGTGACCCTATGTAGGGGGACCAGTCTCTATTCTGCTCTGTGTCCATGTGCATCAGGGGCTCTGAGGACAGGTGTCAATCCATATGTCAGGTGTCAATCCATATTCATTGTGATTTAGGAATGTTAGGTGATTTCTGCCCTTTATGGATTAAAACCAGACTCTGTATCAACTGTGTAATTTTCCATGGGAGTTTTGCCATGGATCCCCCTCCGGCATGCCACAGTCCAGGTGTTAGTCCCCTTGAAACAACTTTTCCATCCCTATTGTGGCCAGAAAGAGTCCCTGTGTGTTTTAAAATTCGCCTGCCCATTGAAGTCTATGGCGGTTCGCCCGGTTCGCCGGTTCGCGAACATTTGCGGAAGTTCGCGTTCGCCGTTCGCGAACCGAAAATTTCGTGTTCGCGACATCACTACCAGCCAGTAATTATTTGAGGCTGCCTGGCCGGTGCCGATATAACAGTAATATCCGCAATACAAATGCCGGTATTTTTTTCAGTAAAAAAACCAGAGATTACTCTGCAATACCAGCACCGGCCAGTAGGGGTCGCTGTGTGTGTGTGTGTGGAGAGAGGTAGGGATAGGAAGTTAAAGCATATACCTGCATCTCTCTACAGATCCGCGGGGGAGCAGCTACACAGCACAGAGAGTCCAGACAGCAGCTCCCAGCCTGCAGAGACAGCCTATGGCTCAGGGAAGTGAGGGATAGGGTTAAGGCTGCAGGGAGACATGGGGACACTGAGACCTCTGGGGATGCTAAGACACTTGGGGACACTTGGAGACACAGGGACAGACACACATGGGGACACTGAGACATGGTGACACAGACACACATGGGGACGCTTGGGGACACTGAGACACAGGAACACTGAGACACTATTGGACGCTGGGAGACATGGGGACACAGACACTTAGGGACACAGACACACATGGTGACACTTGAGGACACTGAGACATGGGGAAACAGACACATATGGGGACACTGAGACACTTGGGGACACATGAGGACACCGAGACACTAGGGACACAATGTCTCCCAGCCAGTGTCCCTGGTGTCTCCCAGACAGTGTCCCTGGTGTCTCAGTGTCCCCATGAATCCCAGCCAGTGTCCCTGGTGTCTCAGTGTCCCCATGTCTCCCAGTGTCCCTAGTGTCTGTGTCCCCATGTCTCCCAGCCAGTGTCCCTGGTGTCTGTGTCCTCATGTCTCCCAGTCAGTGTCCCTGGTGTCTGTGTCCCCATGTCTCCCAGCCAGTGTCCCTGATGTCTGTGTCTATGTCCCCATGTCTCCCAGTGCCCCATGTCTTTGTGTTCCCTAGTGACATGGGGACACTGGGAGACATGGTAACACAGACACTGGGCAACATGGGGACACTGGGAAACATAGGTCACTGAGACACTGTGATACATAGAGACACTGTAATACATAGTCTGTGTCCCCAGGTCTCCCAGTGTCCCCATGTCTCACAGTGTCCCCTAGTGACATGGGGACACTGGGAGACATAGGGACACAGACAATAGGGGACACTGGGAGCAATCCATCTAAACATCAGAATCAAACTGTAAGTAGTTTTTGGTGATTTTACAGAATTTTTTCTTATGTCATTTCTTGGGATTAACATCAAGTTACGCAAACATAATTTGTTATGCAAATTAGTAAGGCCTGTCATTTTTTCCAAGAAAGGTGGCAACCCTAACTACTCTTCACATACTATTGCTTAAGTATGGAAACTTAACAGGGATATATGGAAACAAAACTTGTGTGGACTTGCTGAAATGAAATTAGTTTAGGTAATGCTGACTTTGGTCTCTCTAACACTGTGGCATGTTCTTTCATCTACACTCACTACATCCACCTTTTCTCTCTCTCAGACTGTATACTAGGATCTTCTGTCTGCTAGTAAGAACGTAAGGAGACAAGTGGATATGTGAGTGCTAGGGGACAGTCTTTAAAAAGCATGGAGCGAACGCATCATTAGACGCATTTATGCCAAACTCAGGATGCTGTTGGCCAGCATGCATGATTGGCGGGTAGCTTGACATGCATTCATGTCAGACTAGCCTTCCAATTCTTTGGGCAGACACACCTCCTTTTTGCACATGTTCATCTCTTTCGGAAGTTCTGGTTACATGATCCGCGTCAGTGGCCCACCCTTTTACACCGCCCGTTGACTTCCTGCTACACTGCTGTTAGGGGGTATGGATTTACGTGAAAGATGAAAAGCATGAATTAGAGAGAGATTAGCATATTTTAAGAGAAACTGAGTTTTCTTATAGCTGCATCCTATGAGTTTCCATCCGGCAACATCTCCACCAGATACATAACGCTTGAGAGGTATGACTGTTTTAGTGTTTTTGGTCGATAAGACTCTGTACTTAGGCCCCTCTTATTTGTCAGCACCAGGTCCACTGGGCTCTTAATCCGGCGCTGGCCTTACTTCAGTAGTGGGGAAAGTGATGGAAACCATGTTAAAGGATAGGAATGCTGAACATCTAAAAACACATGGATTTCAAGATCAGAAATAACATGGGTTTGCTTCAGGGAGATCATGCCAAACTAATCTTATTGATTTTTTTGATTGGGTAACTAAAATAATAGATCAGGGTGGTGCAGTAGACATTGCTTACCTAGATTTCAGTAAGGATTTTGACACTGTTGCACATAGAAGGCTTATCAATAAACTGCAATCTTTAAGTTTGGATTCAAATATTGTTGAATGGGTAAGGCAGTGGCTAAATGACAGGCAACAGAGGGTTGTAGTTAATGGAATATATTCAAAGCGTGGGCTTGTCACCAGTGGGGAACCTCAGGGATCTGTACTTGGACCCATTCTCTTTAATATTTTTATTAGTGATATTGCAGAAGGTCTTGATGGTAAGGTATGTCTTTTTGCTGATGATACTAAGATATGTAACAGGGTTGATGTTCCAAGAGGGATAAGCCAAATGGCAAATGATTTAGGTAAACTGGAAAAATGGTTGTGGCAACTGACATTTAATGTGGATAAGTGCAAGAAAATGCTTCTTGGACGTAAAAACCCAAGGGCAGAGTACAGAATATTTGATCGAGTCCTAACCTCAACAACTGAGGAAAGGGATATAGGGGTGATTATTTCTGATGACTTAAAGGTAGGCAGACAATGTAATAGAGCAGCAGGAAATGCTAGCAGAATGCTTGGTTGTATAGGGAGAAGTATTAGCAGTAGAAAGAGGGAAGTGCTCATGCCATTTTACAGAACACTGGTGAGACCTCACTTGGAGTATTGTACGCAGAAGGATATTGATACCTTAGAGAGAGTTCAGAGAAGGGCAACTAAACTGATTCATGGATTGCAGGATAAAACTTACCAGGAAAGGTTAAAGGATCTTAACATGTATAGCTTGGAGGAAAGACGAGACGGGGGGATATGATATAAAACATTTAAATACATAAAGGGCATCAACGCAGTAAAGGAGGAGAATATATTTAAAAGAAGAAAAACTACTACAACAAGAGGACATAGTCTTAAATTAGAGGGACAAAGGTTTAAAAATAATATCAGGAAGTATTACTTTACTGAGAGGGTAGTGGATGCATGGAATAGCCTTCCAGCTGAAGTGGTAGAGGTTAACACAGTAAAGCAGTTTAAGCATGCGTGGGATAGGCATAAGGCTATCCTAACTATAAGATAAGATTTAGAAAATTGGGCAGACTAGATGGGCCAAATGGTTCTTATCTGCCGTCACATTCTTTGTTTCTATAAGTGATTAGGGACATCAGGAATAAAGTCCTATGTATCCAGGGTGACCAGATTCACCATGGTTACCGGGACACATATAATTTTGCCCTGCAGTAGTATGTATAATGCATATTCTGCAGGATTCGTCATTGCCCAATTGCAGAAATTCTACATATTACAGGGCTACCCTTTTCATGTGCTGTCCATCAATATGTTTATATGATATGTGTATCAAACTCATGATCTCGGCCAAGCAAACAGAGTGTAAACTCTAGAAACCTGAGCCACGAGGGAGAAAAGGTTAGTAAAACTTTTTAACCCTGATCACCTAAATGGTAACTAGGGCACTATAGCGTTGGGAATATCCATTAGTATTTCTAACACTACAGTGTTCCTTCAAGGCCTACATAGAACTGACTTGGAGAATCTTCCTAATTTGGCTATTTTGATGCAAAGTTTAATATTAAAGGAGCACTCCACTGCCCACATAAAAAAGTAAAGGCACTATTTAGTAGATATACCTCCAGTGAATACATGTAGGAATTTTTAATTCATGTGTTTCTTGGGGGTATATCTTCAAAGAGCTTGTACTGCAGCACTAGCAAGCCCTCCAAACTTTCAGTCTCTTCACAGGGAAATAACCAGAATTGGCGCACGCACACCGGCTTGTGCACATGCTAGTTACGTCCGTGCTCACCGGCTCAGGCGCAAATCTGTTCTGAGATCTGCAGCTGGTCTGAGCTCTGTTTGGGAAAGGCAGGCACATTCAAGCAGAGTGTGACCCCCACTTCCATTAGTTTGGGGGAGCTAACAGAAGTAGGAAGGAAAAGCTGACGTGCTTTTGGGGTGTGGAGTGGTCACTTAACTTTTACCACCTGGCAGTTCTTGCTTCATTGAATAACCCTGTACATGCTACAGTGTGTTATAAAATTATGTGACCAAAAGTAATGGTATCACTCACTAAATTCAAGTAAATTCAATAATTGTTTTATTATATTTCATTATGAAAATAATTATACTATGAGATTTCTATTAGTTTTATTACAATTTACTTTTGGAAATGTCCAGCACAGCAGATCCATCCAGACCCTTTTAACATTTCATTAGATGATGAATTTCCTCTTTTTACATACTAGATGGGTCCTTGTGCTCTCGTAAAGTAAAGCTGAATAGAAACTTCTAATGGAATATTTCCAAGTGGTTTATGTTCTCCCTCTATGGACATCTCAGTTGCTGGACGTTGATAAAGATAGATTTGCATAGTTAGTCCCTTTTTGGTTCCAGGTTACTATTTAGTTTTTCTTTGTACCTAAATTAAGATCCGAATACCTGTTTTATCTTTAATAAGGATCTGATGGTGTTGTGTGTCCAAAGAGTCCAATTAAGGTTTAAAGGTGGTTACTTGGAAAAAAAACAAATGAAACCAGAAATAGATGGATTGTCTACATGAGGTCTTTAAATCCTCATAACGACAAATACGAACTTGATTCGGTTGCTTTCTATGATAATACCAAACATTTTAAACATTTTACTCTTTTCTGAAACCATGTTAACGTATATCCACACCTTAACAGCAAGTCACGTTTATTATTTTTACAATGAGCCAAAATCCATGTCTTTTAATGTTACGTTTAAAGGGACTTGAATGTCGACATCGATAACCTCATGAATATTATGACCATTACATTTAAAAGGGCCAGCGATAATTTAATATAAACTGCATTTATAGGAAATAACAGTCAAGATTATTAACTAAAAAGTGAATTTTGACGAAAATTGCTGATCTGGAATCATAGCTGAGAAATTCCCCAGAAATGTTCCATTAATGTATATGTGACGAACTGAACCTCATCACGGATGCTTGGAGGGGCCTGCTGGCCAGCCTCTTACCTCAGGACTACGGTCCAGGTGTTAGACTTTGGTTCAGGACTGTGGAAAGGCTTTGTTCGTGCCTGTTTCCTTTTATGGTTTGGTATATAGGGCTTACCGAACGGATTAGGAGCATTCTGTTCGTATACCGAACTAACTCTCGAACTCTTGGACCACCCATGGGAGACGTGTGCTTCTTATTAACCTCATTGACCTTGTTAACTGCCAGATTCTAAATGGTCGGCTGGGTGTCTGCCATTCGTATGGACGTACACGAGGTGGCGGCCATCTTGTTCCCGCGAACGTGTAGAGCGGTGTTTGGTCAACGAGTGTATGGAACCTAAATCGCACATTCAACGGCGCAAACACCACTGGGACTTCCACCTCTACGTATGCTCGGCTGGATTTGTATGAGAAGAGCGGCGTTCTGTTGGAGCAAACTCCCAAATGAAGGACACAAGGCAAGCACACATACGAACAGTTCTGTTCGATATATTGTTGTATTTTGTACTCCCGAAAGAGACCTGATTTCATGGAACTCTTTTGGGCAGGTGCCTCATGTGCGGTAGGTCAAATTATGACCTCCATGAAAATCCTGAACCCCTGAACCGATGTGTGGGGTTTCCATGTGTTTTAGGGGTACTTTCGGGAGGTTGTAAAATGTGTGTTTTCTGTGCCTGGAGATAATTGAGTTTAGTACAGTTCCTGACTCAATTATCTCCCAGGCACAGAGTAGGGATTATCTTGTTTTATGTGGGAGTGTCCTGGACCTGAGAGCCAATGTAATCATGTGTATGTTTTTGCTGTAGTCTACTCTCAAGCCAAGTGGGGAATGTCCCTTTAATATGTTTGAGGAAACTCCTTGCATGGGGACTGACATTAAACTGAACGCTTTACCCATTCATCAATGTACGCTTTATTGAATAATCCTCTGCCATCAATGTACGGTTTAATGACTAATCCTGTACCATCAAAGTGCCGTCAACTCACGTTTTATTGAATAATCCTGTGCCATCAATGAACGGTTTAATGACTAATCCTGTACCATCAATGTACCATCAAAGTGCCATCAATGTACGGTTTATAAATAATATTCTGCCATCAATGTGGTTATGCCCTGCTTGGCTGAGTCTAGCCTGATCCTCCACAGATACAGTTGGTATAAGCTGATAGCACACTGTTGTTGTTTTTTCCACACTTGAAGGACTTAATGTGTAGGAAATCTTGGTTCTTCTCGGGTCCTCAACTGCCTGCTCATTATAAAGTTCTCACTTAAGATATATATATATATTTTATAACAGATATCTTCATACAATATAACAACTCACAACTTTGAGACATTTTTGCATTTTTTTACAGTAATAGGTGTGTTTTCATTTTCGTTGGTTCGAACTGGTTTTCCTAAAATTATCACGTACAAAATTAATTGGAACCAAAACTCCACATGGACAAAACTTTGTTTGTCCAAACCAAAACCTTTTATCAGACAGATCATTTAAGGGGAATTTATTTATTTGCTGTGCAAAAGTCTGCTTGCTGTACCTCAACTTCATGGAGACAAAGAATGAAAGGCAAGGGTCTCACATTCCCCTGCATAGCAGGCTGATGGTGAGAGTCATGCAGAGCAGGATAATGTTGAGAGCCATGCAGAGCAGGCTAGTGGTGAGAGCCATGCAGAGCAAGCTAGTGGTGAGAGCCACGCAGAGCAGGCTAATGGTGAGATTCGTGCAGAACAGGCTAATGGTGAGAGTCGTGCACAGCAGGCTAATGGTGAGAGTCATGCAGAGCAGCAGAATGGTGAGAGTCATGAGAATAGGTCCAATGCCATCACAGTAAGTAGGATAGTTAGCTCTATCATGGTATGTAGGATAGTGAGCTCTATCACAGTATGTAGGATAGTGAGCTCCATCACAGTATGTAGGATAGTGAGATCCATCACAGTAAGCAGGATAGTGAGCTCCATCACAGTAAGCAGGATAGTGAGCTCCATCACAGTATGGAGGATAGTGAGCTCTATCACAGTATGGAGGATAGTGCACTCCATCACAGTATGTAGGATAGTGCGCTCCATCACAGTATGGAGGATAGTGCGCTCCATCACAGTATGTAGGATAGTGAGCTCCATCACGGTATGTAGGATAGTAAGCTCTATCACGGTATGTCGAATAGCGAACTCCATCACAGTATGTAGGATAGTGAGCTCTATCACAGTATGGAGGATAGTGAGCTCTGTCACAGTATGTAGGATAGTGAGCTCTATCACAGTATGCAGGATAGTGAGCTCTATCACAGTATGGAGGATAGTGAGCTCCATCACAGTATGGAGGATAGTGAGCTCCATCACAGTATGGAGGATAGTGAGCTCTATCACAGTATGGAGGATAGTGAGCTCCATCACAGTATGGAGGATAGTGAGCTCTATCACAGTATGGAGGATAGTGAGCTCCATCACAGTATGGAGGATAGTGAGCATCACAGTATGGAGGATAGTGAGCTCCATCACAGTATGGAAGATAGTGAGCTCCATCACAGTATGGAAGATAGTGAGCTCCATCACAGTATGGAGGATAGTGAGCTCCATCACAGTAAGTGGGATAATGAGCTCCATCACAGTAAGTGGGATAATGAGCTCCATCACAGTATGGAGGATAGTGAGCTCCATCACAGTAAGTGGGATAGTGAGCTCCATCACAGTATGGAGGATAGTGAGCTCCATCACAGTATGGAGGATAGTGAGCTCCATCACAGTATGGAGGATAGTGAGCTCCATCACAGTATGGAGGATAGTGAGCTCTATCACAGTATGGAGGATAGTGAGCTCTATCACAGTATGGAGGATAGTGAGCTCCATCACGGTATGTTGGATAGTGAGCTCTATCACAGTATGGAGGATAGTGAGCTCCGTCACAGTATGTAGGATAGTGAGCTCTATCACAGTATGGAGGATAGTGAGCTCCGTCACGGTATGTCGGATAGTGAGCTCTATCACAGTATGTAGGATAGTGAGCTCTGTCACAGTATGTAGGATAGTGAGCTCCATCACAGTATGGAGGATAGTGAGCTCCATCACAGTATGTAGGATAGTGAGCTCCATCACAGTATGTAGGATAGTGAGCTCTATCACAGTATGTAGGATAGTGAGCTCCATCACAGTATGGAGGATAGTGAGCTCTATCACAGTATGTAGGATAGTGAGCTCCATCACAGTATGTAGGATAGTGAGCTCCATCACAGTATGTAGGATAGTGAGCTCCATCACAGTATGCAGGATAGTGAGCTCCATCACAGTATGGAGGATAGTGAGCTCTATCACAGTATGTAGGATAGTGAGCTCCATCACAGTATGTAGGATAGTGAGCTCCATCACAGTATGCAGGATAGTGAGCTCCATTACTGTCTGTCTGCCTTTCTGTCTGTCTAGCTTGTGTCTGTCTGATTCTACATATTGTAAATATTCTTCCATCTATCTATCTATCTATCTATCTATCTATCTATCTATCTATCTCACTTGTCTGTCTTATTCTATATATTGTATTATTGTAAATGTCCATTTCCTGTCCATTCTCGTCGTGATTCATATATCTTGTGATGTTTGGCTTGTAGCGTTTTGTCATGGTGCTTGGCCTGTGACTTTGTATTGTTCACAATCAGCCAGATCCCTCCTGCTAGTTTAATGCAGGTCATAAGATAACATTTTGAGAACATAGAATCCTGTAAAGTGTTCTGTGTTGTCAATGTATCCTCCTATGCATGTTTCTTAGACAGATACATGTCTCTGTGACTGTTTTACGAGGTACAAAACACAGCATTATTAAATTTAAATTCTACTTTACAATCTACACTCCTATCGTGTGTCTGACTACCTTTGTACTTTTCACAGATCACAATTTCATCTTACAGATGTGGTTTTCTTTCATCCTGCTATAACCACATGTTTGATGTAATTTTCTGTCTGTGTGTGGTCTGTGTGTCGGACAGACGCAGGAAATACATTTAACACATCTTTGCTTCTCGAATCACCTTTTTTCTGCAGAACGGTCACTAGATTTTTTTTGATGCAAAATAAGATAAATTGAATAATGTTTGTCCTAAATGTATTTCAGAGATATTTTGTCCTGGCTCCCGATGACTTAGTTCGCTCCTATAACCATTTGCGTGTTCAGATAATTCAAAGTGAATTTCAAATGTAAAGGGTTACTTCAGTGATTTGCAGTGGTCATGGTGCCTGGAGTGTGTTTTCGCAGCTTTTCACTGTGAAACACAGCACACATGGATATTAACCCCTGAGCTGCCAGAGTTACAAACTCCACCTCCCGCACCATCACTGGGTGTCATCAGTCAGCCTGGGACTAGAGTAAATACCCGTGTCAGAGTGCTGAATAGTTCCTGGAGGGGTAAACATGCCTCCCAACTGTCTAGCTTTTGGCGGGACAGTCCCAACTTTGGGTTCCAGTCTAGTTACCCTGCTTAAGTTCCCAGGTGACCCACATCTAGAGCAACCAGTGAATAGGGTTGCCACTTTTTTTGGAAAAAAAATCTTGGCCATGCTAATTTGCATAATTATGATGTATGCATGATGTCACTGGACACAACGTCACGGGATGTTGCGTAATATTTGGAAGATGAAAGTTACATACAAACATACAGCGAGATACAGACACAGACACTGTCATACACAGTCACATAGGCACAGACATTCAAATACAGTCATACAGACACTGACAAATAGATACTGACAAACACTGTCATGCAGAGACATACAGGCACTGACATACAGACACCAACATACAGTCACACAGACACTGACATATACAGTCATACAGACACATACAGGCAGAGACATTGAGATACTGTCATACAGGCACTGACATACTGAAACACACAGTCATACAGAGACATATAGGCACAGAGATTCAGATACAGTCATACAGACACTGACATACACATACCGACACTAACATAAACAGTCATACAGAGACATACAGGCACAGTCATTGAGATACAGTCATACAGGCACTGACATGCAGACACTAACATACACAGTTATACAGACACTGACATACTGACACACAGGCATACAGAGACATATAGGCTCTGACATTCAGATACAGACACTGACATACACAGACATACAGACTCTAGCATACACAGTCATACAGAGACACACAGGCACAGATGTTAAGATACAGTCATACAGACACTGACATACACAGTCATACAGAGACATACAGGCACAGATATTGAGATGCAGTCATACAGGCACTGACATACAGGCACTGACATACTGTCACACAGAGACATACAGACTTTACCTGAGTATCTCTCCCCACTATTACTGTCTCAGGGAGCGTGGAGAGAAATTGTCACGGCGCCCGCCGGGTCCGCTCCTGCCAGAGAGCGGACTAGGACCCGTCTGGCACATCCCGTTGCGGTGGCATGGCTATGGGAATGCTGCTGATTACTCACCTCCTCCTGCGGCGCATGCTGACCTCACACAGCGGCCGGGTCTGTAAACATTAGAGACACCGGCAGCTGCAAGTCAGAGGTTCTTAATTAACCCCTGAGGTACTGGGAACGTGTGTGTGACGTCACACACACCCATTCCACTGTCACATGATCCTCCACAACCTATCAAGGAGCACCTTAGGCTATTTAAACCTTTTTTGTCCATTTCTCTATGCCCTGTCGTGGTTTCTATTGTGGTTATCGGATTGATTCTTGTGTATTTTGGCCTTGGCTTTCTTACAGACTATTCTGATCTCTGTATCCCTTGACCTTTGGCTTACATACCGTTTTCGTACACTTCGTACTCCTGACCTCAGCCTGTCTTTTCTTTTTATTAATTAAATCCAGACGTTCTAAGGCCCGGTAATAAGCCTTAGGGTTTTCTTTATTATTTTTACTTGCTGGGTATATTAGTGTATCCTGACAGAGATACTTGCAGAGCTGGGAGAGCCTCTAATAGTTCTAGCAGAAAGATACCGGCCCCTGCATTATCGGTGTTCCTGCAATACTGGCACCGGCCACAGAGCCTCAAATATCGGCTGTGCTGGTAAAATACCGGTCAGGTGGCAACCCTATCAGTAACCTGTCCCCGGGCAGCACAGCGTGAGCACATCATTGGATGTATCCACTGGCGTACATACTGCGGTCGCAGGGGTCGCAGCTGTGACTGGGCCCGTCACTCCAGGGGGTCCAGCCGCCCTGCGGACCCGTGCGACTGGGTACCAGCCATCATCTTTTGCGGCCCAGGCCCACGCGGAAAACCGCCGGAGCCGCAGTCCAAGGGGTCCATCGGGTGGCACATGCTGTCACGGCCATCCAATGGATATGGATTGTCAGGGGGCCCGGTCAGCGCTGGGCACTTTAACAACACGACCGGGCCCCCTGTGATGACATCACAAGCTGGGAGGAAGTGACTGCCCCAGTCACTCCTCCCATCATACACAGAGCCCACGCGGGAGGAAGAACAGGAAGTCAGAGTGGGAACTCTGACTCCCATCCACCTGAGCCACCACTGGAACCCAGGGAAAGTCACCCGCCTGCACCTAAAAGGTAGGAAACAGGAGGGTGACTTAAACATTTTGTGTGTGTTTGTATGTATGTGTGAATGTGTCTGTCTGTGTGTATGTGTCTGTATATGTGTGTGTGTGTGTATGTGTCTGTATATGTGTGTGTGTCTGCCTGTATGTATGTGTGCCTGTTTGTATGTATGTCTTTGTATGTATGTGTGTCTTTCTGTGTGTGTGTGTGTGTCTGTTTGTATGTATGTGCATCGTGTGTGTCTGTCTGTATGTATGTATGTATGTATGCCTGTATGTCTGTCTGTATGTGTGTGTGTCTGTCTGTTTGTATGTATGTGTCTTCGTGTGTGTGTGTGTGTGCTTGCCTGCCTGTATGTATGTGTGCCTGTTTGTATGTATGTCTTTGTATGTATGTGTGCCTGTCTGTGTGTGTGTATGTGTGTGTCTGTCTGTATGTGTGCGTGCTTGTCTGTTTGTATGTATGTGCGTTGTGTGTGTCTGCCTGTCTGTATGTGTCTGCCAGTATGTATGTATGTATGTGTGCCTGTCTGTCTGTTTGTATGTATGTATATGTCTTTGTGTCTGTATGTGTGTGTCTGTCTGTATGGTTCTGTGTGTGTGCCTGTCTGTTTGTATGTATGTGTCTGTGTGTGCCTGTCTGTGTGTGTCGGTCTGTATGTATGTGTCTGTGTGTGTGTGTCTGTCTGTATGTATATATGTGTGCCTCTCTGTTTGTATATATGTGTGCCTGTCTGTTTGTATGTGTGTGTCTGTGTGTATGTATCTGTCTGTATCTGTATGTGTGTGTGTCTCTATGTCTGTGTGTATGTATCTGTCTGTATCTGTATGTGTGTGTCTATGTATGTGTGTGCATGTGGTGTTGGGGGGAATAGGAAGGGGAGGGGCACGGATCAGTTTCGCACCGGGGCCCCATGGATTGTGTGTACGCCACTGGATGTATCCGTGCTGTGAAGTGACTACTAGGACCAGACAGGGGGCACGGTAGCAGCACTCCCTACATCAGCCCCACCCCCTTTTCGGATAAACACATTACTCACCGAGGGGCCCCTCCCACCCCTTCCTGAGTTCTTGAGGTCATATGTTTGGAGGTAAGGTCGACTCCACAAGTAAAAGGCAGCGAGACACAATATATAGGGGGTTACATAAATAGTGTATGTTCTAAAATGTTCTGCAAAAATTTAAGTTTAAGAGTCACCAATGAAATATGCCTACTGGTTCAATTGGTTTCCATGGTGATTGCCCCACATTTAATACTGTACCCCACATTTCAGAGCATGATACTTTATAAATAACCGTCATCTTCTCTTATGATATCTGTAACGCGTCATAAAAATACACCATAACAAAAACAGCCTTTGTCTCGGTATTCCAATCCAGGCAAGATCATATCAAACAGTTACGTTGTGAGGTTAATAAATTATCTCCAACCCTTTGTTTTTAACCTCTTACATGAGTCAGTGTGTTTATTACAATAAGGCCGAGGTGGCCAAACTTCATTTAACAGGACCAAATATTTGAATTATATTTTTTATTAATATGATTTATTAATTATACAAAAAACAGAAATCAAGAGAACAAAATCAATAAAAAAAATATATTAATTTATTTTGTCAATCTTTCTTTTATTGTGTCTCATTCCCCTGTGTGTCTCATCCCCCCCATCCATCCATGTGTCTCATTCCCCCAGCATCCCCATGTGTCTCATTCCCCCAGTCCCCCATGTGTCTCATCCCCCCAGTCCCCCATGTGTCTCATCCCCAGCATCCACCTGTGTCTCATCCCCAGCATCCACCTGTGTCTCATTCCCCCCAGCATCCCA